GTAAATTGAGTATTTATTTTTCTAATATTATTAATATTAAAAAGGAAAGATAAAGCCACGTGAAGGCAAAAACCCTCTTTCGTGGTGGGAAAAAAACACCCCACAATTGGAACCAAAGACAAACGGAAAACGGTTATTCGGAGTCGAAATTTAAGCCATCTGCAGAAAATTCGACATATCCACAATTCTTCTTCTTCTTCTTCTTCTTCTTCTTCCTCCGGAATGGCACCTTCGTCCGCCTTAAGCCGGCCCATTTGCTCCTTCAATGTCATTTCTTCCCTGAAACCGAATGATAACAATATTTTTCAAATTAATTGTCCATTGGGGGTGGGATTTCAGAAAACGTATCATCAGTCTCTGGTTTTTAGATGCTGCTCTGCATCCGCAGAAGGTTCCTCCTCGGATCCTATGAATTTGAGGTACCGTTCGTCTTTTTATAATTTTTTTTTCTGTTTTTTTTTTTCAATTAGCGGATTGATGTATTGCTTGTGAATTACTGTATTATTGTTGGGTTTCGTGTTTCTCTAGATTTTTCCAACATAATTTTAGTTTATGTGTCTCCTGGTTCAATTCGTTTCATGTTGTTAAAGGAATAATGTGTTGCAAACTGAAAGTACGGGATGGGAAGATGTTCCATTTTGTAATCAGAATTTGCTGAATTGTCTGTTGGTTTGTTTATGGAGAAAAAAATGATTTCCAATTTATGAAGAATGAAGATGCTAAACAACCTGACTGTAGGAAATGTTGGTACTGCTCAGTGGATACTAAGCCCTTTGCTGAATTGGAGAAAGAGAAGATTCAAATTTGAAAGGCTGTAAGGACTTGTTCTATAGTAGACTTAGAAGTGTAGTTAATTTAGGTGCAAATAGCCCTTTTCTTATAGCTTGTGTATTTAATTGTATAGCTTTGTACATATGGCTCTTTTCATTGAATTCGGTTATTTTGACTTCTCACGTGCGTTTAACTTCCTGTGTTGAAGGCCACAGTAGAGTCAAGAAAAACCTTTCATTCTTCAAGGTTCACCTGACACTTCACTATGCTTGTCTGCCTATCTTGGATGTGTAACTTGTTTTGCCGCTAGCTAAATGGATACATGATTTGGTTTGCTTTTGACTTGTAAAGGGGAAAAAAAGAAATAAAGGACTCCTTCCCGAATATCTCATATAATACATGTGTACCAACAACATAACGAGTCATATTGGCTACAAAATATGTGGCTAATCCTTGGTCCTCACACTCGATGAAGATTGCTTAAGGGGATGAGGGTTTAGGTTTTCCATATCACTTCTATATCCTGGAATTTCTTTTTGGAGAGTATTCTTTTCAATGATAAAGAAGCCTTTACCGTAGGATGACATGTCAAAATAAAAAAAACGTTTTGACTTTTTGCTTAAATATGGTTTTTGATCGCTTTAAAGTGGCATGCGTGTTTATCCAAAAGGACTTTCCGCTTAACATATTTTTGTCCCTTTTCCTTTTTGCAGGTAACCTTATGTTTCATCTATGCCTAGGCCTCCTTTTGGTGTTCAAATGAAGGATAGAGGCTCAGAAAAACCATCGTATAAATGGCGTAGGATTTTGCTTAAAGTAAGTGGGGAGGCACTTGCAGGAGATCAAACCCAAAATATCGACCCAAAGGTTGGTATATTACTTATGGTGTAAATTATGAAGAGTCTCTATTAGCTCCATTGTGCTTATTTGAATATGCTTGTACAGATCACAATGGCCATTGCTCGGGAGGTTGCAGCTGTTACTCGGCTTGGTATTGAGGTAATCGTCTTAGTACCTATATTTTGAAGAAATTCAGTATATTCAGAAACTTGGGAAAGATTGTTTAACTATTGCAATCTTTTTCTCAAATTCCATTTACATTCGTTATTTAAGAAATAGGATTTTCACCCTTACCCGGATACATATAGTGCTCATGTGATGCTTGGCCATTTCATGGAGAGTAATGCAACGAAAGTTAAAAGATTATCCCTCTGTTCTTGGTTTCTTTATTCTATCTTTTTTTTCCTCATAGTGGGAACATCTGGTTAAATTTGTTGGTTATCATGATCAATTTTGCAAATGCACTTGACTTACTGTACCGAAACATTCAGGTTGCAATTGTTGTTGGAGGAGGAACATCTTTTGTGGGGCCTCCTGGGCAGGGAGCAGTGGCCTTGATCGCTCTTCTGCTGACTATATTGGGTAAACTCATTTGTTTCTTTGAACTCACATTTATTTTATGCTTCTACTCTTTTCAGAGGTATCTTTGGTTCTTCTAGTGTGATGTTCACTGACAGAACTACCTATAGTTGAGGGGGGTACTAGGCCACATGTAATTTTTGAATATATTGGGGATATATGTAAAAACTGAGTTAAAAAATTAATTATACATAAGGACAAAATAAGCAGCATGGCAACTCAAAGTTCTAGTCTTACCTTTTCTTCTCATTGTTGTCAACACAATAAAAAAGAATACTGATGTCACTTCAATTAATATATTTACTTTATGAGAATTAGTACTAATTTATAGCTTCTTCTTTAGTGATAATTTATATAACTTTCTATTAATAATTGGGGCCCCTGAGTTAAGTATCTTGTACTGTCACCAGTGATGCTTATACATATACTGTTGGTCAAAAATGGCTGCGGCCAACAACCAAAGAAGAAAAAAAATAGTGCAGCCACATCTGTTGAAAATTGCAGCAGCCGGAGCTGCTGATTTTTGTTGAAAAATCTGTACACGATTTGTTAAAAAAGAGATGCACCTCTTCACTATAAATAGAAGGCAAATGAGGCATCAGATACACCACAACAAATACAAAAAACACAGAAAGAAAGAGAGAAAAAAGAAGAGAGTGAAAAGAAGCAAAATATTTTAGTTTTTGTGTGTATTTGAGTTGTGAGTTGTGAGTGGTTTCGAGAGTGTTTTGTAAACACGAGTGTATTTATTTTTCCTAATAAAATATCTGCAGTAGTCCGGAGACGTAGGCATTATTGGCCGAACTCCGTTATCAATTGGCGTGTCCAATTTTTATTTTGTTATTTCACTTTTATAAATCCGACTTCATGGAAAATTCAGCGTATTTTTCCCAACAACTGGTATCAGAGCCAGATTGTTAATTCTGTATTTTTTGTGTGGTGTTACTATTCCGTTGAAAAACGTGAATAGTACCAATTTTATCGGCGCTACAATTTATCTACCGACGTGTTTTAAAACACGGTAGTTCACAAAAATTACAGAAACGATCCGGCAGAGAAGTCAGATCAGAATCGAAGTGATGGTTGCAGACGAAGGAAAAATAAAAATTGAAAAGTTCGATGGTGCGGACTTTGGCTTTTGGAAAATACAGATCGAGGATTATCTGTACCAAAAGAATATGTATCAACCACTCACAGGAAAGAAGCCAGAGGACATGAAGGAGGAAGAATGGAGTCTCCTTGACAGACAAGCTCTTGGAGCCATTCGGCTGACGTTATCCCATAATGTTGCTTTTAACATTGCAAAAGAAAAGACGACAGCAGGCCTCATGAAGGCTCTTTCCAACATGTACCAGAAACCATCAGCCTCAAATAAAGTTCATTTGATGAGGCGATTGTTCAACCTTCGGATGACCGAAGGTGCTTCGGTGGCACATCATCTCAATGAGCTCAACACCGTCACAACCCAGTTGAGTTCAGTTGAGATCGAGTTCGATGATGAAGTACGGGCTTTAATACTTTTGTCTTCCCTACCAGAAAGTTGGAATGCTACGGTCACGGCTGTGAGTAGCTCATCGGGAAGCAATAAGTTGAGATTTGATGATGTCCAAAATTTGGTTCTCAGTGAAGAGATCCGGCGGAGAGAGTCGGGTGAACCATCAACCTCTTCTGTATTGAATACAGAGTCAAGAGGAAGAATTTAAACCAAAGAAAGCAGACACAACAAATCAAAGGGAAGAAGATCCAAGTCCAGAAATCATCGTAGTTCCCAAAACTCGAAGTCGATCGAGTGTTGGAATTGTGGGAAGACCGGGCACTATAGAAACCAGTGCAAGAGTGCACCGAAGAGTCAGGAGGCAAAAGAAGAGGCAAATATTACTTCAGCCCCTGGAGGAGATTTGTTGATATGTTCTTTAGAGAATAAGGATGAGTCTTGGGTGTTAGACTCTGGAGCATCATTTTATGCTACCTCACAGAAGGAACTATTCACAAATTATGTTCCTGGAAATCTTGGTAAAGTTTACCTTGGTAATGAGCAATCATGTGAGGTTGTAGGGAAAGGTGCAATAAAAATCAAGCTACGCGGGTCTGTATGGGAATTGAAAAATGTTAGACATATTCCCGACCTGACGAAGAATTTAATCTCCGTGGGCCAGCTAGCCAGTGAAGGCTACACGACAATCTTCCATGGTGACGATTGGAAGATTTCAAAGGGTGCGATGACAATTGCTCGAGGCAAAAAGAGTGGTACTCTTTACAAGACCTCAGGAGCATGCCATCTGATTGCAGTTGTAGCAAATGAAAGTCTCAATCTATGGCACCAAAGACTTGGGCATATGAGTGAAAAAGGGATGAAGATCATTCACTCAAAAGGAAAATTACCAAGCCTCCAGTCAATAGAAATTGACGTGTGTGAAGGTTGTATACTTGGAAAGCAGAAGAGAGTTAGCTTTCAAACAAGTAGAAGGACTCCAAAGAAGGAGAAGCTTGAGCTCGTCCACTCTAATGTTTGGGGTCCAACCACTGTCCCATCCGTTGGTGAGAAGCAATACTTTGTGACTTTTATCGATGATTACTCCAGAAAAGTATGGGTTTACTTTCTGAAACACAAGTCAGAAGTATTTGAAGCTTTCAAGATTTGGAAAGCTATGGTGGAAAATGAGACAGGCTTGAAGATCAAGAAGCTCAGATCCGACAATGGTGGTGAATACGTAACAATCAGATTCAAGAAGTTTTGCTATGAGCACGGGATCAGAATGGAGAGAACCGTGCCTGGTACGCCTCAACACAATGGTGTAGCTGAGCGTATGAATCGAACGTTGACTGAAAGAGCCAGAAGCTTGCGTGTACAGTCAGGCCTACCAAAGCAGTTCTGGGCAGAAGCAGTCAACACAGCAACTTACTTGATCAACCGAAGTCCATCGGTACCACTGGATCACAAGTTACCAGAAGAGGTATGGAGCGGAAAAGAAGTAAAACTCTCACATCTTAGAGTTTTCGGATGTGTAGCATATGTGCACATCAGTGATCAAGGTAGAAACAAACTTGATCTAAAATCAAAGAAATGTACTTTTCTTGGTTATGGTGAAGATGAGTTTGGCTACCGCATATGGGATGATGAAAACAAAAAGATGATCCGCAGCAGAGATGTCATCTTTAATGAAAGACTGATGTACAAGGACCGGCATAATACAAGTGCCAGCAACTCAGAAGCGAGTGGGCCAGTTTATGCTGAGGTGGAAGATATCCCAGATAGTCCTATAATAAGGAGTCCTCAGTCAGAGGAATCAAATGAAGAAAGTGATGTGCAATCTCCAACTCCTGTATTGAGAAGGTCCTCTCGGCCCCATGTGCCTAACAGGAGATACATGGACTACATGCTGCTGACTGATGGAGGGGAGCCTGAAAGTTACATGGAAGCTTGTCAAACCACGGATGCTAGCAAGTGGGAGCTTGCCATGAAGGACGAGATGAAGTCCTTGATCTCAAATCAGACATGGGAACTAGTCAAGTTACCTATGGGAAAGAAAGCACTTCACAACAAATGGGTGTATCGGGTAAAGGAAGACCATGATGGTTCCAGGAGATACAAAGCCCGACTGGTTGTTAAAGGATTTCAGCAGAAAGAAGGAATTGACTATACTGAAATCTTTGCTCCAGTTGTAAAGCTCAATACTATCAGGACTGTGTTAAGTATTGTGGCTAGTGAAGAGCTTTACCTAGAGCAATTAGACGTGAAGACTGCATTTCTTCACGGAGACCTAAATGAGGAGATCTATATGCACCAGCCTGAAGGTTTTTCAGAAGGAAAGAAGGATATGGTGTGCAAATTGAAGAAGAGCTTGTACGGCCTGAAACAAGCTCCAAGACAGTGGTATAGGAAGTTTGAAAACTTCATGCACAAGGAAGGCTTCCAGAAGTGCAATGCCGATCACTGTTGCTTCTTTAAGAAGTATGAGTCCAGCTATATGATCTTGCTACTTTATGTCGATGACATGTTAGTAGCAGGATCAGATATGAAAGACATCAGAAAATTAAAGATGCAGTTGTCAAAAGAATTTGACATGAAGGACTTAGGCCCAACAAAGAAGATTCTTGGAATGCAAATCACGAGAGATAAGCAAAAGGGAGTTTTGCAGTTATCTCAGGCGGAGTACATCAACCGTGTTTTGCAGAGATTTAACATAGACAAGGCTAAGCCAGTCAGTACACCTTTGGCCAGCCATTTTCGTCTATCCAATGACCAGTCTCCTCAAACAAAAGAAGAAGAAGAGTTCATGGCTAAGATTCCTTATGCTTCAGCCATTGGAAGTTTGATGTACGCGATGGTCTGTACGAGGCCAGACATTGGCCATGCAGTGGGAGTTGTGAGCAGGTTTATGTCAAAACCAGGAAAAGCTCATTGGGAAGCAGTTAAATGGATTTTGAGATATCTACAGGGCACAATAGAAAAATGTTTGTACTTTAGAAAAGGAGATCTAAAGTTATAGGGCTACGTAGATGCAGACTTTGGAGGTGAAGTTGATCACCGAAGAAGTACCATTGGTTATGTTTTCACTGTCGGAGCTACAGCTGTTAGTTGGATGTCGCGGATACAAAAGATTGTTGCTCTATCCACTACAGAGGCTGAGTATGTAGCAGTGACAGAAGCCAGTAAAGAATTGATATGACTTCAAGGATTGTTAGCAGAGTTGGGTTTCACTCAAAAAGAGAGTGTCTTGAACAGTGACAGTCAGAGTGCAATACATCTAGCAAAGAACTCAGTGTTTCACTCCAGAACTAAGCACATTGACATACGATATCATTTCATTAGATCTCTTCTCGAAGATGAAGTGTTGACTTTGAACAAGATTGTAGGAAGCAAGAACCCAACAGATATGCTAACGAAGGTGGTAACCATTGACAAACTGAAGTTGTGTTTAACTTCAGTTGGCTTGCTAGAATAACGAACCGGAGAAGACTACTGCAGAAATTGAGGTGTGAGGACAGATTGAAATTTGTCCTCAAGTGGGAGATTGTTGGTAAAAAATGGCTGCGGCCAACAACCAAAGAAGAAAAAAAATAGTGCAGCCACATCTGTTGAAAATTGCAGCAGCCAGAGCTGCTGATTTTTGTTGAAAAATCTGTACACGTATGTTGAAAAAGAGATGCACCTCTTCACTATAAATAGAAGGCAAATGAGGCATCAGATACACCACAACAAATACAGAAAACACATAAAGAAAGAGAGAAAAAAGAAGAGAGTGAAAAGAAGCAAAATATTTTAGTTTTTGTGTGTATTTGAGTTGTGAGTTGTGAGTGGTTTCGAGAGTGTTTTGTAAACACGAGTGTATTTATTTTTCCTAATAAAATATCTGCAGTAGTCCGGAGACGTAGGCATTATTGGCCGAACTCCGTTATCAATTGGCGTGTCCAATTTTTATTTTTTTATTTCACTTTTATAAATCCGACTTCATGAAAAATTCAGCGTATTTTTCCCAACATATACATCCTATCTCCCCGCAAGCATAAGCCTAATGAATTATCTTATTCAAAGATCATGCTATGAAAGCATTATTCAATTGCCTTTCAGTTGTGAGCTCATGCACAAAATACAAATTGAAGTTTTCCATCGTGTATCTGGTTGATGTAAAGTAATATTTATCTTTTACTAATATTGTTAGCTCATAGTTCCAGTCACATGCACTCTGCATTACTGCTCATCATGTAGACATTTATTTAGGACCATAAAATTAGCCATTGAAATTTCCTGGAGCAAGTATAATGAGGTGTATTTTAGTTTTTGATATTTGAAAACTTTTGCAGACATGTAATATCAAGATTCTCTTGTTTCATACTATTTTTGTCTTGAGGCCTGGGTTTCCATGCATGAACTGGTATATCCAGATCTTGAATAATATATTTTTCTTTCTTTTTCCTTTTTTTATTTTAAGGATGCTAGCAACTGTGATGAACGCCATATTCTTACAAGCAACAATGGGGAGCATTGGGATTCCGACAAGGGTTCAGACAGCTTTTCGCATGTCAGAAGTAGCCGAGCCCTACATACGAAGACGAGCCGTGAGGCATTTAGAGAAAGGAAGGGTTGTGATATTCGCAGCCGGCACTGGTAATCCCTTCTTCACCACAGATACTGCTGCTGCCCTTCGGAGTGCAGAGAGTAAGTCTTTTGTCACTCTCACTCACCAGAAATGAATTACCAGACAATGGTAAAATGCAAACTAATCTTAAAAATTTTTATTTTCATTTTTTTTTTCTTTATTTAGTCAATGCAGAGGTGGTGCTGAAAGCTACAAATGTGAATGGTGTGTATGATGACGAGATGACGACCCCAAGCGCAACCCTAATGCACGCCTGCTTGAAACCCTAACTTACCAAGACGTGACTTCAAAGGAACTATCTGTGATGGATTTGACTGCCATCACTTTGTGCCAAGAGAACAACATTCCTGGTAAAAACTAAAAGCCTTCATATTTGTTAACCCTAAGTTATGACTGATGTCCGTATTATGATTTTTTATGCTGTAAATACAAGAGGCATTTGACACCTTTTCATTGCAGATCTTTCCTTTTATGCAGAAAGAAGTTTTAGATATTTTACATATAAAAATGATTGTAGTTATAATCAAGGAAAAAGTAAGAAAATTATTCCACCAGTATACTTAGAAAAAGAAAGAAATCTATACAATGAAATATTAAATATAGATTGTGCAACTAATTAATACAAAAGATTTAATAGTCACTTGGACTAACCAACTAAAATTACTAGTTGAAACTAATGATTTAATGATAAATGGAATGACATTAACAGATTTTGTCAATTATATAAAATATAAAACATCAGGAGTATTATTTGGCTATTTATAGAACACACAAATCTTGTTAAATTTTCAAGAGAATGGATCAGAGGCAGGTTCAGAATACAAATTAGCAGTTTTAAGAGAATTAGCCAAAGAAATATTAAGAGAATTATTAGGAATTACGAGACAAGAGTCAAAAGAAACACAAAAGATAAGGTAGTTAGATTTCTAACTACCTCCAAATCAAGAGTGCAAAATGAGAGTGTAGTAATGAATGTAGAGATAATGTGTTAATGAGATACATTAGATCCCTTTTATACGGGGGTGTACCTTAGGGCCCAAGTTGGAATTGACCCATACCATTATGCTATGTGTCTTAGTCCATATGTGGACTTATTCTCCAATATATTCCTTCTTATCCATTAAAACCGGTCTAGTATATTATCTCATATCATCTAGTCCCTCTACTCTGGTCGAGTAAGCATGACTCCATCCAAGAGTGAAATGCCTCTTCGGGTCGTTTCCTTCAACCTGCCACTAAGGTTATAATTTGAATAAATCCTCGATCACCAAATAGTCATTAAACCTCCAAATGAGCACCAGGACCCAAATGAATACCGAATGATCACTGAGGTAGAAAACTGAAAGACCTGCCATTAAGGCCGAGAACCGAATGACCTGCCTCTGAGATCGAACGCCGAATGACCATTGAGGTCGAAAATTATAAAACACACAAATCTTGTTAAATTTTCAAGCCAATGGACTAGAGAGCAAGATCATAATACAATTTAGCAGTTTTAAGAGAATTAGTCAAAGAATAATTAAGAGAATTATTAGGAATTACGGGACAAGAGTCAAAAGAAACACAAAAGATAAGGTAGTTAGATTTCTAACTAACATTAAGTTATGCAATGCATGCTACATAGAAATTTTTTTTCTGTCAAGTAATAGAAAATTTCTATATAATTAAGGATCAATCAGGATTAATAGAAACAATTGAAAATAAACTTAAATACGAAACAAATAAATATATACATAATAAAAACAGTGAAACACGAGAAGAAAAAACTCTACGAGTTTTAGAAAAAAATTGCGAAAAAATATAGAGATGAACTCTGTATAAGAAAACTAGAACACCATGAAATGACTAAAGTCGACTCAAGATGTTGTAAACAATTAGATAGCGTGCCACAAGAATTTGGTTGTTATAAACCATCACTACGCCAAAAACGGCTTCAGATAGCGCTTTTTTTTGCTATAGATAACGCTTAAAAGCGTTATCGGAGTCAGTGTTATCTGAAGACTGATCTCTCAGATAACGCTTATAAAGCGCTATGTGAAGAACCTTTCACATAACACTTTTTTATATTAAGCGTTATGTAAAGAACCTTTCACATAACACTTTTTTGATCAGATAACATTTTTTAACATAAGTGCTATCTGAGATGATGATAATATATAACACTTCTCTAAACAAGTGTTATCTATGTTTATATTTTTTATATGTTTTTTGTGCACATTAGCCCCCTGTTCTAGTAAACAAGAACCCAAAAACCAAGAAGCAAAAACCAACAAGAAAACAACTAAACCATGAATATAACAAAAACTTACTACATAATCCACCAATTTTAACATTGTACTAATGTATGTACAAGAGAATAATGTACCACAAGAGAATCGTATCTCCAATTCCAACAAATCAAGGAAAACAACTAATATATTCCTAGTAAAAAATTCGTCCACTATTAGCTGATATCCTGACTAAGAAAGTTTTGATGACATCCCCCTGCATCATGAAAGTTATACATATGTTGATATCAAAGTCATTTCATCACAGCTTATAAACAATATATAAAAGAAATGTAATACAAGTATAATAAAAGACATACCTGTTAAGTACGAAAATGATGTGCAGAAATGTAATACGAGTATAATAAAAGACATACCTGTTAAGTACGAAAATGATGTGCATGTATCTGCCGGAATTACATATTGAAAAGAAACATCTCAATCATTATCTATTAATTCTATTTCGTAATAGATTTGAAGTTTAACACAACAATAACAACAAACGAAACGACACTAGTAGAGTTTTTATCTTACACAACTGAAGAACATATTGTGCCATTTTTTCCAACCATCATTTACTTGCTCCTTAGATAATTGAACGCACTTGTAACGAGGAAAGTACAACAAAATATAACATTATTAATTAGAGTCTAACCAAAATACCAAAAAATGAGTGCATAATAGAATGACAAAAAAATGAGCTTGGGGAAATATGAAAAAATACATATCTTAGAAAAACACACAGTATTTTTCTATCAACAAGGCACTAAACCAACAAGGCAACTTTGTGCTCCTTGGTACCCCATGGTAGTTTATTTCTGTACAAAGTTTGTGTCTACCTTTCACATGGATTATGCATAGTTTATCTAATATTCATGACAACACCCATCAAGATATCCAAAAATACCTAGCACTGAGTACAAAATGATTTTTATTGGAAGAGAATGAAGCCAAGGATTAGAGAGAACTTGGCAGCTTGACTAGTCTGTCAAAGCATTAAAGCTCGACATTTGAGTCCGGTTGGTGTTGGCCCATTGCAAACCCCTAGAGTTATTCTTTTTCTCAAACGATAAATTGGGGCACCTGAATGTGGTAAATTTATTGATTCAACATGGAAATCAACGATTAAAGTAGTAGAGGGAGAGAGACACACACACCAGGCAACTGCCATCCAACTAGTTGGTGAGAGGTCTACACTTCTCAAAGACATTAATCTAGGGTATCTTTGGGCTAAGCTACTACTCTGCCAAGCAAAGATAAATCAATGGTAGGACTAATTATGAAATCATTTTTAGCAACTCCAATCACTAATTAAGAAAGAAAAAAGAAATATCAACACAAGAAGACGAGAATATATTCTACAAGCAAAAATGTTAAATCAAATGGAATAAATACAATCTATAATACACAAGGATAGTATTCTTATTAAGAAAAGAAGAAGAATGTCGACATCTTGTCAAAAGTGACACATCTCTTACCTATACAAGTATTCTAATAAAATTATCCTTTATTGATTCTTTAGTATTATAAGCAATTGAAAAAAAATTAATAAAAAGGAGAAAAATTCATCAATATCCATCCAGCAAGTACCTTGTCTGTTAGAGGAACCCTTCCTTATGGAGATGATGGCTCAAAGTATTGAAGGTAAGGATTACCCAGTCTTTCATTTGGACGCCAGAAACTATCCTGCTCGACTACTCATTCCTCAGAAGAACATCCATCCCACCTCCATAACTTCTCACATTCACTCTCCTCACTGAATGAATCACTAAACGAGTCCCTCATCTCTCTTACACACTCAGTCTCATACCTATTATCCCAAATACAAAAGTGAAGCCTCACACCACTCACATATCTCATGAAAATATACACTGTTAATTATGCTTAATTAAACAAATAATGTAGCCACATTAAATTTTACCAAGAATATCAGTCAACTCTGTACAAACTTAATCTTGAATTGTAAAATCACCAGCTAACTAGATCAAATTATCTCAAATTTAAATGTAAAAAAGAACAAAGGGGAATTTCGCAATAACCAATACAAAAGATGCATTTTTTTTATTGATCTTGGTGTGCTAGGGGAAATTCATTAAACTCCATGGTTTACTCACGCCCCAAATTAAGCATAGTTTTACATATAAAAAAAAGAGGTGCGAAAACAACAAAAAGGCAAAACGAAAATAAACCTGAAAAGGAATGGTGAGGCGAGCTAGAGGAGCAGTACAAGTCTTGCTGAAGGCCCCAGCTATGCCGCTGGCGAGGAGCTGCGGGATCCTCCCGGTCTGCGATATCTGAGGCTGCTGCTGTTGCGGTGGCTGTCGAGCGCGGTGGTGGCGAAGCAACTTCTTCGTGGTAGATGAATTTCTCTAGGAATTGTTCTTATTGGTAGGAATTGAAGATGAAATTCTTCAGGAATTGGTAGCAAGTCGGAAAGTAGGGTTCTTCTCTCTTTGTTCTTCGTCCAGCTTTACATAATAAAGTTTGTTCGCGTACAATTTTTTATTTTTAATTCTGATATATTTATTTATTATAAAATGGGACTTTATAATATTGGAATGGGAATGGGATGAAGTGTTATAAAACACTATTTAAGTGTTATAATTTATATAGCACTTGTTAAGTGTTATAACTTATATAGCATTTTTAAAAGAAGTGTTATAATATATATATCACTTGTTAAAAGAGTGTTATAATATGAATAAGTGTTATAACTTATATAGAATTTTTAAAAAAAGTGTTATGTAATGTTAATCGTCTTATAGCACTTGTTAAATTAAGTGTTATCTAAGAATTACGTATTTTTTACATAGCACTTATTTAAAAAAGTGCTATGTAAAAAGTGTTATTTGAAATCATTTTTGGCGTAGTGCATATAGAAAGAAAAGACACTATAAATACAATAAGTTTAATAGACAATATAGACCAAGAAGATATAAGACATTTAGAAAATCATAGAAACCTAAATATAGAGGAGAGTTAAGAAAACAAAAAAATACTTAGAAAAACCCAAATATTGTCCTAAAGGAAAAAAAAAAAAAAAA